CTAACCACTCGTTGTATTGCCCTGATTGCTACAGCCTCCGTGTGGGCGTCTAGCAGACCTTGCGAAACTGCATTGCTGGGCATCCCCAATATTGATGGAGCATACCCTCTGGCCAGCTGAAAAGCACTTAGCGTTGCGTTTCCGTGAAACATATTGGTCATAAAAGATGCCCTGGAGACCATAGTCGAGTGCGATGCGGATGTACTCTCCTTGGCAAGCCTTGAAAGGACCATTTTAAAGACTCCGTTGTTCCTTTCGACATGACCATTTTTCGAGGATGATCTCGACGGCCTTGGTTTTAGCTTGATCTTGTGAGTACTGAGAAACTTTTCAAGCACCGGTTTACAGAACTCTGGGTCTGCACTGAAACTTTGTGGTGCCCCGTGATGGTATAACCATTCTGCTTCCAGCATGACCATCATATTCTGAGCCGATCTATTCTCTGCAATAACTCTTTCCCCGTATCGTGTACCGACGTCCACAACGTTTAACACCTCCAGTTTCTTGTCGCCTATATAGACAATCACAAAATCAGCCTGTATCTCTTGATTAAATGCCTCATTTACGTGAGATAAAGACACTTTTTTCATGTCGGTTGGTCTACCGGACGAGGCACATATGTCACATGCCTGTGACACCTTCTCACACGCTTGTATCACTCCTGCCGTGGTCATCTTAGCGTCATCAAACAAGCGTCGCATCTCATTCGAGGATGCGTGAGTGAACCGATGTACCTTTTTGACCATATTTATTTCTTGCCTGGGAGAAACTGCGCCAAGCAAACTTGACACCGTTGATTTTCCATGTGGTAAAATGTCAAAACGAATACGTTCGTTCCCCCCGTCGTCTTTTCTTATGTAAGTAAAGAACTTTCGCTCTTCTGTATCGCATGGTCTCTGAAAAATGACGAATGTGGGCTTCTGTCTGTTCATCGTATCTGAAAATCTCTTAACGTCTAGCCCGATTATGAGAGGTGATGAGCCCTCTACCAGATCGAACGTCATAACTGTTGGCTTTCTGTTGACGTCATTAATAAACAGATCCCAACTGTACCTGATCGGCTTCGCGTCTGCGCATGCGTGCCCCCAACCGTGATCGTATTGTTCACGCGGTGGTTTCAGAATTAGTGGTATAGCCAGAGCATCACACAATTGTGTTGCATTAACCACACCACCCGTCGATGTTGGTGCTCCTTCATCAAGCAAAGGGTTAAGGTCAGTATGGAGCTCTACTGGCCTCTTCTCCGAAAAAACGCACCAATCTTCTTATCTTTGAATTCGGTGTTCTGATCAGGTCCCCGCCAGGTGTCCCGTGTTGATTCGTCCTTCTTATTTTCTATATTTCTTTGAACTTTCTGAATACAATTCGGTCTGTCTCTATACCAGTGCCCAATCTCTCCACATCCTTTGCATTTGGTTTCTGATTTCAACTTTTTAATGCGCTCCGTGCGTGGGTATGCCTCATTTTCATATGAACGCTTTCCGAGCATACTTCCCCTTGAAGAAGCGTCTCTTATCTCGTCGGTGATAATTTTTACTTGTGACAAAGACTGAACAGTGTCTTCCATGCTGATAATTGACACATTACATTCTGTTTCGGACCTTTTTGACAGCTGGCTGATTCTGTCCGAGATTTTGAGTAGTTCTTGCCGATGTTCTACGCCTTCCCCACAGTGTGCTGCTATGAAATTGCTAAGCATAGATGCTTCGCCAATCCGTATATGTAATTTCAGGACTTTTGTCGTCGTTTTCTTGTTGTCTGTTTTAGAAGTAAGCTGAAACATCAGAGAGTTGAGAGTGTCAGGTGTTAGTTTAGCACTACGCAGTAGTGTGACAGCAAATTGTCTACTAGTGAGATCCGTCATTTCGGATGTCTGGTTGACATATCTTGCAACTGTTCCGCTGTATCTATTGGCGAAAAGATGTGGGCTTTCCCCTGCTCTGCGAACACAAGTCTGGATGTCGTTCAGCAGCTCTACTTCCATGCGCATGAGCTCGGTGGGTGAATCTTTGGCTATGATGTTAATTATCTGTTCCACAAGGGCTTCCCTGTTTGGATCGTTTCTGTTTCCTTTCATACAAACGATTCCCGACTTCTCAGCACTTTGTATCATTTGCTGAGCAAAATCATCGCACGAGCTATAGATTAGGGGTCCAGCCCCGTTCAGCATAGCCCTTGACTTGGTGTCCACTTCTGCAAACATGTTCAGCATTTCAATCCATCTGCGGAGTTCATCCCTGTACTTAGATTTGACTGTGAAGTTGGTAGTAAATGTCGGGGGATGATCATGGCTTGATGAACCACCTCTGCTTGATGATGAGAGAACCGCTGGGCCCATAACTGTGAGTTTTTCACTGGTCATCCTGAGGCAAGGATGCAGGTTGGTTCCCTTCAAGTGTTATGAGGTGGTACTAGATGGTTTGGCAAAACGTGTTCCGTATCGGCAAAGGTATTCAGCATCAGCTGGCTCGGGTGCTCGTCCTCCCGTGCGTGTCCTCCTTTTCTTTTCTCTTACTAGCTCTCGTCTAAGCTGTATAAATACCTAGGCTCGCTCGCGTTTCTTTCCGTTCTGCGCATCGTCATGCGCCTCATTGCATATCCCTTCCGTGCACTATCTCCTCCGCGATCCTTGGCTTCTGCATTTGCCCATGACCCTTCCTATTTCCGATTCAATGTCGCACTCCTCTCCCGCTGTCTGCTTTCTCTCTATATGTGTGTGTTCCCTCATACGCACACCCTAATCTATGCTGGTGACCCTTCCGGCTCAATACACATAGGCCATAAACACTGTATTCACCCAAAGTGTAAGTCTGCATTAAAACGCCACACCGCTTACACGTGCACAACAGTCCAAATCTTCACAACTGTACAGTACGTATGCCCCAACAAACATCCCACGCGCACACGTCACCCCGTCTTCACACGTCGCCCAGTACATGCCCTCCCGCTGCCGCACGCCCCCACCTTCACCCTTCGACAACCCCGCGGCCCCGCCCCTACAGTACTAGGGGCGGGGCGGCGGCGTTGGCGACGTGGCGTAGTACGCCTCGTCCCCGTCGAAGCTTTCCGATGGCCTTGCTAGCGTCTTCGCCCTGACAACCATGCCTTACCCTCGATGCATCACACTTGTACAGTACGGTACAACTAGGGCGCGGGTGGTATAACTTGTACAGTACCACCCGCGTCCTACTCATACCACGTATTGCGACGTGCCGCGTATATTATTACTAATATATCCTACATGGCAGGGCATCGTCACTGTCACCAGTGCCCCTCTCATCGAACAACAGTTACTTACCAGAACCGTCTAACCCCCAGTCCTCGCACCTCCGCTGTATCAATATAATACACTCTCCATCGTGTTACAGTACACTCCTAACGGGACACAACTGTATATGGCGCTGCCTTTCACAATCACTTCTCACCCCCTCTTACATTCTTGTACCAAGTACAGTACTCGAGGGAGTATAGGGTATACCCTTGCCATCTGCGGCAACACGTTCCGCCCCTAGACATCTCGTCCCGTTGCCTTCCAATGTAAATCCGCTCCACATATACATGTACTATGCAGTACCCGCATACCGATCGGCGATTGCCTCAAGTTGGAAAACATTACGCAGAGGAGGGGCGCAATTATTGTACACTACAGTACACGTAGCTATGACGAGGCAAGGCCATAGTCGCGTTTGAAGGGAGGATCACCCTGCAAAAAATGACCGAGAGCACTCACCCTCATCCATTCCTGCTTTCAATACCATTTTCTTTTCACTCCTGGAAGGTGGGACCACCTTCCGCACTCGATCACTTTGCACTGTGACATCCCCTGCTTTGATGCTTGCAACAACGGCACTCCACAAAATTAGCAAATAGAAAGCCTTCGTCTTCAACCTGCAGTTGGCAGACCGGTTGGCTAGCCGCCTGTTACAGTATTGCATTCTTGTCATGCTACGTCGCAATTTAACACTACTTCTGTGTCAGAGCATGGGCTGAGTGGGTGTGCGATGCCGCTTCCTCACGGTGTCGGCGAGACCTTCAAAACGGAAGCATACTGCAAGGCAGAGAAGAATACACACAATGGAAAGGCAAATGCCCTGCCCTGACATGTACATATGGCACCCCAGGAAAAAGACATCTCACGCCTATGTGAATGGCAGACATACGCCCCTAAACCAGTATTCAACGCCGTTACTGTTGTCCATCAGGAAACATTCCATCTCGGTGAGGAGCAAAGATCGAGGGGAAAATTGAGTCACGTGCCACTGTGCACCTCGGGCCCATTCTCGCCCACTCGATAAAGAAACAAGATTGGCAACTTGTAAGCGGGCGGAAGCAAGTCGATATCTAGCCAGCCGTGTTGAGAAAGTATATCCATGTAAAGACAGAGGTACAGTACATACTGAAAAAGACGTTGCAAGGGCTGAGAAGAACCTCAGTTGCGATGCTGAACACCCTTCTTGTTTAAGAAACTAGTATCCGTAGTTCGCCATTATCCCTTTTAACATGGAACAGGAGTTGTGGTTCTCTTCTATTTCAACAGGAATATTGCAATGCGCACTATTCGCTTTCGCTTTCGCGACACGTTTAGTCCTTCGTCCAGTACCGCGACAATCTCCTGTCAAAGCGAAACGAAACTCGAGGACAGCAAGAGAACATGTCCGCAAAACATGAGCTAGAAGGCGTCCGGAATAACCTGACCTTCAACGTCTTATCCACACTCGCTTCCTTCCCCGCCGTCAAAGCATGCCGCGAACAATATTTGAAAGCAATACACAACCTCCCGAGGGCACTTGCCCCAAGGAACTGGACCTCAAGGTATCGAAAGACTATTCGCCCGTCGCGCCAAACTCTACCCGCGACTCAGAGTCTTCTCAACCAACCAGCGCACCTCCCACATGTACCTTAACTTCGTCCCAAGCGACGCACACTGAGCTAAAACAGACGATTCCCGTCCCGGAGCGAACATACGTGGACGTTCTAACGCGTTTCGACTACGACTCTCGCTACGGGCCATGCTCCGGCCTGACGCGGCTGGAGCGGTGGGAACGGGCGAAGCGGCTCGGACTACGGCCTGAGGTGGAGGTGCGCACGTACATCGCCCGCGCGGAGAGGGACGCGCTCCGCATGTTTGACTTTGATGTCAGGTTCGGACCATGTCTCGGTATCAGTCGCGTGGAACGCTGGGAAAGAGCACTCAAGCTCGGCCTAGAGCCACCCGCGGAAATTGAAGCCATTCTGCAGCTCGAAATGGACTCTGGCGAAAGTGATGGTTGTCGTCGGTTGGGGATCAGAACGAGATTGTGGTGAAGCAAAAAGGCCCTTGCTGCGACCGACTGCTTCGCCCAACTGCTATCTTCGCGTACCATGTTCAGCATGGTTGGCAGAACTTTGTATGACGAAGCCTTTGAAAATGGGAGGAAACCCCTAGTTTCTGCATATTGAGACCTCAAGTAAGTCTCTCCTTCACCTAGACCAACAGAAAAAAGAAAAACAGACAATAAACCTCCAACTTGGAGGATTTATTGCAGCTTCGCGTCGCTCAACATCGATTGAATCTGTGACGATCAACATTCAAGTGACGCAATAATGCAAGCAAGAGGTCATAAGAGAGGCAGGCACCTCACTTGAGCCCCGCCTTGCGCTGGTTGAACTCGACAGCAAAAATAGGGATTCCGACGCCAACCATCACACCGGCAGCTAAACACGTAATATTGCCACGCCAAAAACCGCCACGAAGTCTAGTTAGAAATTTGCCTCCAAACGTCATAAAACTCACGCAGACTCGTGTGAGCAAGGACGGAGGCGCGAGAAGTACGTACTAATCAATGAGCCGGCTTTGAGCTTGGACGCAGGCTTGTTGCGCAGGTTGTACATGTACTTGGCATGGAGGTATTCGTAATCGTTTCCCTGAGAATGAATTACACGCGAAGTTTCAGCATGGTCGGAAAACACGTATGCATTGGTTTAGTATGCGCGGCGTGGTTGGAATGAGGTCGAATCGATGCGGGCGAATCGCTCTTTGGGGTGTTCTCGGAAGAGCGAGAAGATGTCCAGATGACACGGTTGTCAACTAGGAGTTACCTACCGGCAGGTGGGTAATGTGAACGTACGTGAGCGCCACGAGCGGAAGTGGTTGAATGAAGAGACCTCGATACGGGGCGGGCAAGCTGGCGAGCTGCAATGCGCGCCTGTCGACGATGGGGCAAGGTGGACGAGGAAGAAGGTGAGAGTTAGCCAAGCTGCGAAATGCTCGGAGGATGCACACACAATGGTGAGAGGAGAGGATGATTCACGTACCGCAGAGGAAGCGATCATGACTCTGGGATGGATTTGCAGGCGCGGGGACTTGATAGCAGGGATTCGTTCGATGGGACAGGGACGCGAATGAAAGAAGGGGGCGGGCGCGGAAGAGCGCGGTTGTTGTCGTGAGGGTGCGATGCGAAATGTGTTGAGGAAAAGAACGGAGCAGGGGGATTGCCGATAATTTACAGCGCAAATGTCCCAACTTAAACAAGAATGGTCAATATGAAGCTTACAGTATACTTGGCAGGCAACTATCCGCTCAATTCGGCACCACTCATCATTGCAAAGAAGATGGATGCGGGGAAGTCAACTAAGCAACGTACGGTATTGCCCTGGGTAAGCACACAGGCGTGCACTTCTTGACGGCATTTTAGCAGTGTGGGTGATTGCAATTTAACGTTTAGGATTCCTATACTCGACTTCATATGCCTAGGAGCTGCGCCTTCTATGCTCAAGGTTTTCTTTAGATGGCAGAGGGTCACACAAGCTCTCCAACTTGAGATCCTCCTTCCACACGAAGGCCTGGCTAAGCAGAAAGTCCACCTCCCTTGTCTTCCAACCTTGCGTTGGCAAGTGCTGTAAAAACATAATGCAGTCCTCGAACCCCTTACTTAAGAGCTCCGCCCTAAATCGGATCATCAACGCGGCACAAAAGTAAACATGCAGATCCGCCATCCCGTCCTCCTCGCCTAGAAGTGCATCCCACAGCTTCACCACCAGTGGGAATGGGAGTTCTCGCATAAGCAGACAGTTCATCCATCGACATGCAAACTGAATATACTCGTTTCCGTTACGTTCTAAGTGTGCGGCAAGTAAAGGGTCCACTTCCCGTACGATAGTTTCCAAACGTTGCACACGTCGCAAGATTCCGCTTTGCTCCGCGGTAAAGTTGTCCTTGATGCTTGAGACGAGGAGCGAGAATGTCCAGAATGCGTCCGCTTCTGCATGCCTTAGTTCTTCGTCCGTCAGCGATTTCCCGATGCCCCCACGGTTTAAAAAACTCTCCACACCCTTTTCACCCACTTCTTTCAGGTAACTGCTGAGAAAGACAACGATTACCGGTGTGAGTATTTCATTCATGCCTTGCACATAGGTACGCTTCGGATTCAATATGCCATACAAATACAGGATTCGCTTCATCGGCTCCCGGACTTCGGGCACATGAAAAATGGGAATATGAGGATGCGTTCTCGGCAAGTCCATTTCAACCTGTCTTATCGTCTTGCTAGAGAACTCTGCATATTCTTCTGCATCCATTTTCTTCCAAGTTTCCAGTCGCCCTAGGGTTGAAGCCGTCCCAAGTCTTACAGGCCCTACCGCGTTATCTACTTCTCTTTGAAGAGACAGGCACAGGTGTGCTTGACTCGACAACTCTGTGTCTGGTAAGTCGTTCTCCGGATATAATAAATCAACGTACTCTCGGTAACGTTTTCTTTTGACCTCTAACGCAGGACGTCTTGCGCTAAATTTCAACGGCTCGTGTCCGAGAAGCATTCGCCACACTTGAGCACGATTTTGCGGTCCGCATCCTTTCCATGCACATTTGCGCAGATCTTCCCGGGATGGACATTCATCTAAGAGAATGAGGTCCATTTGTAAACGCTGGGAAGAGTTGACTGGAACTTTCTTTTGAAGCACAGAGCGAGGGGATCTGAATGTTTTCGTGAACCGAACCGCCTCATTCTTGTGTGAAGGTATCTCATTCTCCCTACATTCTTCTTCCATATCGGCAAAGTCGATTACTCCGATTCCTAGACTGCCACATTTGGTCAACTGTTGCCTGCCCCGAAAAAAATGATTACCGAAGAAGCTTGCAACGGCATTTATTTCCTTCAAAGCCGAACTTCGAAGAGGTTTACAAGGAAATTCTTCGTTCCCAGAGGCATCCAAGTCGAAGAAAGTCCCAGCTGTGCTCACAGCCATCACGATACACTGTGTTAGTCACACCAGTTTTGCTGACATCTACTCTTCTACAACGATTGATGCCTTCCGTGCGTTTTCGACATATGTGTTCAGTATAAAGAACACGAGAGAGAGAGAGCAGGCATAAGGTTTCTGTTATGAGATGCGTATACGGGCGACCACTTTCAAATGTGCTCTCCTTATCGTGCGAGGTCGAATTTGTACAAAATTATTACTCAAGCAAAGGGTTTCAATTGTTTGACTCTTGCAGACTATTCAAGCATCGTGCACAGCATTCGTTTACGAAAGTATGAACTCCTTCAGGTGCACAACATATTTGCTCGGAAAAAAAAAAAAAAAAAAAAAAATTGGAAGGATAAGCAAAAAAACCTTGGCAGATTTGCTGCGAGCACTCAAAAACGCTCCGTTGCCGTAGTGTAGCATCAACTTTAAATATAAATAAACAAAATTGTGAATCATGAGAAGGCCATATTGTAGAGCGGAACATATTCAAAGGTCGTCCCGTCAACAGTCGAGATAGACGTGGAGGAAAAAATTGTGCGGTTGCGTGGCGATTCAGAGCGCTAATTAAGCAAGCGTTGGGGGGGCAATCAGTCCCATGCTCATCGCCTTGAGGCAGTGGTCTTAAACACAAACTGATTTTGCAGGACATTTCTTCTACGCTCATACATACGCCCACTTCATGATAAACCACCATCAGCCGCAACTCCAGCATGCAGAGCAAGCCTCCAACACGCCCTCCTATACATCCTCCTCCAGCCACTCCATGATAAGTCGGTGCGCCAAAGAGGTATGCCCCGGGATAGAAACTTGCGCGCCCCCAGCCGGCTCCCCCACGAGCTGCTCTCTCAACCACTCCTTCCTGAACCACCTCGCGTCCTGCAACTCTGTCTCATCAACCGTAACCCGTGCTTGCTCATCTCCTGTCACATATGCCCTAAACCCACTCATCAAGCTCGCCTGAGGCGCGCTAGGCCACGGCTGACTAGAATGATACCGCACGGACACCGGGTCGACAAGGACGCCAGTCTCCTCGCGCACTTCCCTCGCGACTGTCTGCTCCAAACTTTCGAAGATCTCCGCGAACCCCGCAACCACTGAGTACCTCCCCTCTGGCCACCTGGCCTGCCTTCCCAGCAGCACCTCGCGCCCCCCCTTCCGCAGCACGAGCACGAGCACGGACGGCATGACGCGCGGGTAGATGTTGCGCGTTGTACAACGCGCGCTCGGGCACGCGCGCGCGGCGCCGCCCCGCGTGGAGACGGTGCGGCCGCCGCACCGGCTGCAGTAGCCGGCGGAGGCGTGCCACGAGATGAGCGCCTTGGCGTGCGCGACGAGCGCGGCGTCGGCCTCGCTCGCGAGAAGCGGGAGCACGCGGCGCAGGGGGGTGCGGACGGGAAGCTTCCGAGCGGGCCCAGAGGATGAG